TTTCTCTGTATTCAACATATTTCAACAAAATTTGGCATAAACATAGGCAAGAATGCAACAAACAATTTGCACGGAGTACGCATTTGTCCGCCTAATAACGTTCAGTTAAGAATTTTTTATCTATATGTCATCACTAAAAAACGGGGAATATATGTAAATTGGAGGCAAATGCTTGAACGACGGCGTACTCCGTACAAAATATTTCTATTGATGCCTTAAGTAAAACCTCGTTGTTTCAGCTCAATACGTTTAAAACGAAAGCTACAATTAATGGCTAAATATGGCTATTTTGGGACTTTGGCATGCGTTCCCACACCCCCCTGGACACAAAACTGTTGTTGAATTGCAAAAATGAGTTGAACAACCCAAGGCCTTTCTAAATACTAGCTTTCAGATTTTTTCGAATTTTCAAATTTGAGTCTCCAGTACTACCTTAAGTATGTGGATGATTAATTGAAATTTCTTTTTTAAGGAAAATGGAGAAAGTTCAGGAGATGGAGAATGGTAGAAATGAAGAAGTGAGTAATGGTAAAGATGTCGAAGATGTGGCAGCAGTTGATGCAGATCTTATATCTGTAAGTGGAAAAAATAAAGAAGGTAGTTCAAAAGGAAAACATAGAACTAAACATAAATGTCCTTATTCGTCTTGTTCTGTAAACATAGTCCATCTTCCTCGTCACATGAGACACATACATAAGTGGGATGAAAAAGATTCTATTGGCGTCCTTGGTATGTTTGGTTTGCGCTCAGAGAGGAAAAAGACATCTAATAAACGAAAGCATATATTAAGAAAAACATTCGTAAATTTGAATTTCAAGATGTTTAGACTTACACATTATTTATCTAGTCATTTAACAATATAATATACATATTTATTTTAATATATAGATATTTGTAATTCTATTAGTTACTCAGTCAAACTAGCACTTTGTGTGCTATATCTAAACAGAGTCAAAATAAATTATTATTATTATTATTATTAAGGAAAAGATGTGCCCTGTCCATAATTGTCAAGCTGTGGTGAAATAGATACATAACCATCTTACGGATTTTCATAATATGAAATGCAAAAGCTGGGTGTGAAGGAAATGTTTAGCTGAAGCGGTTGTGCATAGTGGACAGGCTTTTTCATTGTGTGAATCTAACGCCTGATACTAGCTCATCCAAAGAAGATAAAGTGGTTGTGAGTAGGAAAAAACAAGGAAAAGTTAAAAATCAAAATATCTTTAAAAAGGTGTACACCAGTGATGAAGAAAGCGAGTTGGAATAATTTGTTCCACCATATCCTAAAATCTTTCAAAAGGAAAATATTGAAGTAAATATATCCTCAAATTTATCCACAGGTGAAGATTCGATAGGTGAATTTGATGTAATATATGAACAATGAGAGCGAGTCTTTCACCGGGAAATCCAAACACGAGAAAACAATGTATGAAATGAGAACACGAGTGCGAAGGGCAAGTGTTTTCCTACATTGCTTTCGAGTGTTTGGATATCCCAGTGAGACACAAGCTTGAGTTGTTTATATGGCTTCTCAAATGAATCGAGACATAACAGAATGTTTTCGTTTGCTGATTTGAATAGAATTCTTAACCAAGCTTAAAAAACTCATTAATAATTCAGGAGCAAAACACAAAGAAAAATCATAAGTGTGTCGTATCTTTATATGTGATAAAAAATCATGTTAATTTACACAACCTTTAGCTTTGATTTTCTCGGTTTAGACAAAGTTTATTTTAAAAATTACTTCGCTAGTGTACTCATCAGAATATGGGTCGTTTTTTTAAGCCATTTAAAGCACGCGTAGGAGTGTCTTATCAGATATAAAATGCTCGGCTGCACCTCGCGTTTTATATCTGATAAATCACTCCTACGCGTGCTTTAAATAGTACATAACATAATTAGGAATTCTATTCAAGTAATTTTGCATGCGTAATTAAGATATTTGATGAAAACAGTAGTGACTTTCATCAAGTTTCACTGGGATATCCAAATGGCGTCTTGTGATCAAATAGGTGATTATCATTGGTTGAATTGCTCATGAATTATTAACTCAATTCGATCCGCCAATATTAATTTCCGACGTATATGACGGGAAGATTAAATATTAAAGAACTTCGCGAGTATTTGCAGTAGACATACGAAAATACCACCAAAAAATTCCGCTTGATCGATACTATATATTCAGAAATATTCATATAATTTTATTGTTTCTCGCTCAATTTCAAGCGAATTTCTTACCTTGAAATGATCAATGCGGTGAAATTTATGCAAATGACACATTATCAATTTTGCTGTTGCATTTTGAATGTTCCGCCTGATTCAAATGCTCGTCTTTTCGCTTCTTTTCAACGTATAATAATAACAAATATACCAAAAGAATCGCCATCTTCCATTCTATAGCTCGGAGCAGTCTCGGGAAATTGCGAAATAATCTAAGCCTATTATGGCAATTCTCGTGATCGGAAAGTGTTCGGCCAACTTCGGACGCCAAATTCTTGGTAAAGCATTACAGTTTCCTGGTAAAAGACTGCAGGAATCACTTCCGGAGTGTTTGTTTACCCTAGATACGGATTTTGATTGGCTTAGGCAGAAAAACAAATCTTTTAGAGCAATTTTCCTGATTATCGCGCACGGGAACGCACTAGCGTTGAAATGTATTGTGTTGTAGTTTTGTTTCAATCGCATTCTGAAGACGTTTTTGGCTTTATTTTGCAAACTGATAGTGCTAGTAATGATGGAATGTCTTCATATGAAGACAAGTATCTCAACCTTGCATTGGGAGTCGTGTCTGGAGTTTCAAGGCAAGTATTTGTATCATTTCTAGACCATTTCTATTTCAATCTTTTGCCGTTGCCATGGCGTTGTAAATTTATTTGTATTTAGTATAGCTTCACTAGTACGACCAAGTATGTCCTCATATCGCTTTTTTGTGTTGAAATAATCGTTTCATACTGAAATTGACAAATATAAATGGTTTTTATTTATATTGTTGACGAAAGTTTATGGTGTTTTAGGCATAAAAATCTCTGATTCCTAGGCGAAGTAAAATGAGCCTTGAGCACATGTTTCGTTGTTTGTTACATACATAATAGCAATTAGTATTCATACTTATATCTTACTAGTTGGCTCTTATTATAATTTTAAGTGGCACCATGTCTATAAAAGTTTTTATTTGCACTGATGAATATATTGATCCTGTTCCTCACTGCTGTTCCTGTTTCATAGCCTCAGGGAAGTAGAGTTCTGATGAGTCATGAGAACCCCACTCACCAACCCAGAGGGAAGGTAGGGGGATGAGTAGAGGTAGAGGGAAGCCCAGCCATTAGGACCTAAGGTTTCGAAAGCTCCCTGTCTAGCATCCCCACTAGGCCCCATAGTACATGATGGATATGATGATCCTGATGCTAGGAATGTTCTCCCAGATTTTGCTCCTCACTGACATGCCCGGGATCCATTTCGATCAACTGTGAGCTTGAGTTCATTCGGCTCAATGAACTGTGAGCTTGAGTTCATTCGACTCTTTTTTACTAAGTGAATGCTTCAGGAGGTAGTTTCCTGGCCATACCAATACATATGCCCACATACAAATAACTCAAAAGTTATCCCCATACACTAATAAAGAAGGGTCTTGCAGTCAACCTTGAGAGGTTGATTGCCTTTTAGTATAATATGCAGGTTTGCTAATTTAAGGTCGACAGTGAGATTGAAAATTATTGGAGTGTATGGTCTGTGGGCAATAGACATAATTTCTCGGGTTAGGTACAAAGCGCTTATGGCGTTTGTGAATATGGTAGATCCTGTACTAAAGACTACAGCAATAAACTGCATCAACAACTGTATCAGCCGTCATAGAATATTGTTGTTGCAGACAAACACACTGTCAAATCAAGAAATAGGTTGGGGGTTAGGCAGTTCATGAAAGCTAGATGACCTACTATGTGGGGAATAAATCTGTGGGTTGCTGCAGATAATCCTAATGGTTATATTGAGACTTTGAAATTTATACAGGAAGAAGTCCAGATATTCATAGCAACAGATTTGGGTATGACGTGGTGATCTGATATCAGTTTGGTTACAGCCTTAGGTCTTTTGTAGTACAATATAAAGGAAATATTTTCACTGCATAATCCAGTTATGTGCTTTGGCAAACATTACTGCTTTAGCAAACATTACTGCCTTGGAAAACATTACTTTTTTATAACTACTAATTATGATGATGCCAGTCAAACAACACTTGGTCATGCTATTTGCAAATATTTTCATGTTCTAGATTGTGAAAACAATCAATTTCTAAACAAATGAGTAGTGATTATTTCAAATTTGAATAGCATGACCAAATTTTGAGGCTGGTTATGACACTAATAACTAAAGTCAATGGTGTAATGATTATCTAAGAATGTATGTAGTAATTGTAGAAATAAAGACATTTTGCTAATCATGATTTGAGTGTTCTTTTGTGGGTATCACAGACTTATTTTGGTGCCATACTATCTTTGGAGAGTAAGAAATATTGGAAATTTGTATTGATAACATGTTGCAGCAATAAAAAAGGACCTTTGATAAAGGTATTTGTTTCATGTGAGCACAAAATGTAAATTTTACTCCACTACCTAGTTTATATAAAAACTCAATAAAAATATTTCTATTTATGCTACATGCATGAAACTTCGGGTACTTGTAGATCATAACCGTGTCTTTCAGTCATATTCATAAAATTTTTTGACATATTTGAAATTTGAACCGCTAAATACATTTATGCATAATTGCAACATTTTTTTATATCATAATTTATGCAAATTTATGCGAGTATATCGTTAACCAAGCTCCGGATGAAATTGAAATTGGTATCGTTGGAAAGCAGAAGTCCTCCTCTTTCGAACGATGCAATTTCTGTTTCCGTGCGATGTATAGTTTGAGAGATATAAGCGTTTGAAACAACACCACTCGAAATTGCTACTTTTCCACCGGATGAGAATGAGTTAATGAATTTGAGAAGGGCTGCTTGAACAACGTTCATGAAAGCAATGTGGAAGTTAATGACAATGGTGCAGATGAGGACCAGATGGTGGAAGGAAGGAACTGGTTGTACATCGGTGCTTGTGCCATATTGAAATAGTTGTTGAAACCAGGTCTTTTCAAAGACTTGTCAAAGATTGGTTCTGGGTAAAAAGACTAGTGGGCATAAACAACTTAAAAAAGCCAGAACAAACTGAGGGATTCAATGATTTGAGCGTAGTAAGATGAGCAGTTAAAATCCTTGGTGACTACCAGGATTTGACATCTGTTGCAATGCGTAGCTAAGTTGAATACACATTGGTGAGGGAGTAGCTCCTCATATTACTATGTATCAACAATGGCAGTCGAGCAGGTGTTCTAGCGAACATGACACTTGGTGAGTTTTGTAAGGCTCGGGAAGATGGTTCTTTTGTCATCAAGATAAGATACAATGCCCTTGAACACAACCACCTTCACTGCCATATAAACTGAATATATGTACATTGAGGTAAGATCATTCACATTATGGCAAATAATTTTTATGCTTAAAGGTTATGTTCAAGAAGTATGGGACACTTTTGTTGGTGCACTTGAAAAAGGAAAATGTTATAGAGAAAGAAATGAAATTAATAAAAGAAATGACTCCAGCACCAATGAATATGATGTTAACAAAGCAACCCAGAGAAGATGCCATCAAGAAGCGAGAGGACAGAAAAAAAATGATCATTAAAGATGTACCCCCCAACTGCAGGTTAGATTTTTTCATAGTGTTATTACATAATGCATATGTAAATAACCATTGCGGAGTTGCTGAATATTTTGTCATCTAGACTTCTGTTATAACATTTGATAATTAATTAACATATATATTAATAGAGCCAAACTATTGTATGGCTCTATTAACATGTTCAGCCTAGTTGGCAGTTGATGGGTTAAAATACAAATTAATTAAAATATAAGACATAAGTGTCTTTATTTCACACTACAATCTTAGACAATACACTTAAGACAAATATAAGATCAAATGTCATGTTCATGAGTGTTTAAAATTTCCATGGTTTTGCCCCCCTCTCCCCCCTGATTCAATGTTGCTTGGACGAAAACATGTACCTGGGTTATGTGACTATCAAATACTAGCAACATTGAACTGGGGGAGTGGGGGTTACATCAAAATAAATCCATAATTTAATGGACATAGCTACAGAATATATTTTTATGGCATGAATATTACACTGGGTCTCAACCAGTTTTGTCCAAGATTGTAGCTACCAAATTTCAAGTCATATAATTGCATGCAATAATATAATTCTCAAAGGAATATCAGCAATTATTGTGGTGTCTAAAATAGTTGCTTTATTTTATAGTGTCTTGTGATGAACCAGCTCCAACATAAGGACAGCAAGGTCAAAGAGCAAGACCACGCTGCAAAGAATGTCGGCAACCTATGAAAGTATGGAAAGCCATAGTGGACAAAAGTAGTCGAGAATTTTTTTTCTGGTCGAGAATATTTTTATACAGTCGAGAATATTTTTATACAGTCAAGAATGCTTTTATACAGTCGAGATTATTTTTACTGTCGAGAACTTTTTTTACAGTTGAGATTTTTTTGCAGTCGCGAATTTTTTTTATAGTCGAGAACATTTTTACACTCGAGAATATTTTTTGCAGTCGAGAATATTTTTACACTCGAGAATTTAAAGTCGAGACTGATCATTTAGGAATTTATTCCACAATGATTTTGAGAAGAAAGATGGCGAAGCTCCTTTATTTCATTATTGTTGTTTTCATAGAAATAGTAAACGTCTCAAAGGTTATTGCGCACAATGATGATTTGGAAAATCTGTTATCGTTACAGGATTGTGTAGAACGAATTGATAAGAATGAATTTCCCGGTAATTTCAACTTTTTAGAGCATTTACATGACCGTCTTCAGGGATATATTCGAATAATAATGGTCATCTCCTTGGTCCTTAGCAATCTCAAGTTGCGATAACGCCCCTGATCGCAAACTTGCTCAGTTTATTGAGAGAAAAACTTCAAGCCCTGCGAACACAGATTAGTGTATGTAGTGACCAAACGACTAGGCATTGTAGAATTCCTCCTCAAGCTGCAAGCTCGGGAGGCAGGAGAAGGTATATTATTACAGTGGAGCAAATCGAAGTATTACGCAGTACAGGTATGAACTGGACAGCCATCGCCAGTTGCTTGGGTGTGAGTCCTAAAACTCTTCACAGAAGAAGAATAGAATATGGCATAGCTGACACTTACAGTGACATCACAGGGCAGGAACTTCAATGGAATATTAGAGATATTCTAAGATTGACACCCTTCTCAGGCGAAACCTACGTACGAGGGGCTTTGCGTGCTAGGGGTATCCATATCCAAAGATGGAAAGTTAGGGAAGCATTGAAAACTATTGATCCTGTTAACCGTGCTATAAGGCGGAGATACGCTATCCAAAGGCGTCTGTATAATGTAAGGAAACCAAATCGTCTCTGGCACATTGATTCGAACCACAAACTCATCAGCTGGAGACTTGTCCTCCATGGCTGTATTGACGGATATAGCAGGGCTATAATCTATGTGAAGTGTTTCACTAACAGTCTTGCACATACAGTTTTGCAATGTTTTGTCAATGGGATGAAAAAATTTGGACTTCCCTCCCGCGTACGAGGGGACAGGGGCGTAGAAAATGTAGATTTTGCTCGATTTATGATTGCAAATAGAGGTCTACCGAATAGAGGTCTACCGTGCTATAAGGCGGAGATACGCTATCCAAAGGCGTCTGTATAATGTATGGAAACCAAATCGTCGCTGGCACATTGATTCAAACCACAAACTCATCAGCTGGAGATTTGTCCTCCATGGCTGTATTGACAGATATAGCAGGGCTATAATCTATGTGAAGTGTTTCACTAACAGTCTTGCACATACAGTTTTGCAATGTTTTGTCAATGGGACGAAAAAATTTGGACTTCCTCCCGTGTACGAGGGGACAGGGGCATAGAAAATGTAGATGTTGCTCGATTTATGATTGCGAATAGAGGTCTAAACAGAGGGAGCTTCATAGCAGGACGTAGTGTCCATAAACCAATGAATCGATCGTGTTTGGGCCGAGGTGAATAGAGTTAGTTCTGCCTATTATAAAGATCTGTTCCAATTCATGGAGGAAAGAGAAATTCTTGACGCCCATGATGAGCTTGATCTATATGCCCTACACTATATTTATCTTCCAGCAATACAGGCATCGCTGAATGAGTTTGTTAACCAATGGAATCATCATGGACTACGAAGTATGCATAGTATCTCGCCTCTTGCACTTCGGTATTCTGAGGTTATTGAAATTGGTGTGACTGATGTCAATATCGGGGACATAACTTTATATGGCATTGATCCTGATGGCCAGTTGGTGATATTGAAACCGAAAATATGGTTGTTGTCCCTGAAAGTACAATTAATTTAACCGAAAAGCAAGTCAGTGAAACAAGACGCCTTGTTCCAGATCCTTTAAGCAATGACAGCAATCACAGAATACACCATTACCTCACAGTTCATAATTATTTGGAAGCACAATTTCAGCAACAATAGAACAGTTTAATTAAAATAATCACGATAAGAACATCAGTAAACAAACAGGGCCTTTAAAAATATATTCTTGTGAGGATATTTTCTTAAATAGGGATCTCGTGGCAAAAATCTTATTTTGTTATGTATAAGAATTCAAGGGGACTTTCACAGATCTTTTTGTGTGGAAAGTCGGCAGCTTGAGCAAAAGAAAATTGTAACTTTGGGGAGATCAGTGAGTCAAATTTTTAACAGGCATAAAATTGCTTTGAAATGGTATGAAACTATATGGATTTGAAGCCACAACTGCACAAGTAATGAAAGAAGCTTAATTTATAAATTCTAACATTTAATCTGGGTTATATAAAAAACAGCCATATTTAAGTATTTAAAAAGATTAAAAAATCACTACCTTTGTACAACCGGCCCTATACTCTATACTTGTTTCCATGGGACAAACCCCTCTGGGCAGCTCATTATTATTCTTAGTATTTCCTGGGTGGTATTGATTAATTCGTGTGGTGAGGGCCCAAGGTGGGCATTTCTTCCCCAAGTTATATGTTAAAGGCCCTGCAGTCAACAAAACATTAAGTTTGTCCAATATGTATATCATTTTAGATGTTATAGGATGTTGTAGAATAAAAATCCTTCATAGCTTAACAGAACACAAAGTATCTTCTAAACGATTTTTAACTCAACTAGATTAAAGTATAAAAGTATATTTTTATTTGTTCTCCTATATGCAGGATATATATAATGCATTATACTATGTAAAATGATCATGTGGCTTCTCGTTGGAAGATGTTACTGAACTCCTCGGATAGTTTGTTGTATGATTGGTAGGTTGATGGTATTACAAGTAGAGGAGCACATGTGTGCGCAATGGGTCGACATGTTTTACCGCTTTCTTCACTAAACGCAACTTCGATTGAATCAACAGCAATGATGTTACTACCACTAACGTATTGGAGAAAAATACTTACTAGGTTGTCGTTGAGGGACTTAACGAACCGCTTCAAATGGGAGAAGCACTCTCTTTGTGCATCGGTGGCTGGATTTGAGGTCAAGAGCTTGCAAACCTTTTTCTGAGTGGGCTTTTTAGCTTCATAAAATCTCATCAAGCTATCAGTTTTAAATTCTTCAAAACGTTTAAGTTCGTTCACAATTGGAGACCAGGCATTAGCTACGTACTTCGGACGCTGTATTATCTCTTGATGTGCTAATTGTTCGATTATTTTTGGCATTGTGTCATTGAGAGCACGTCAGTCACATCCTCATCTGTTGATGGATCAGGGCATTCGTCAGTGACACTTTTTTTTAGAGTTTCACTCTCATCTTTGGATATGTATTGATGAAAAGATTCTACAAGCAATTCCTCTGGGAAGAGACAGGAAGCTATGAATGCACTCGACAGAGTAACAGGAAAGTATCCAAACTTGATAAATTCTGCAACAAGGACACACGCAATACTTTTCCATTCACTTTGCTGGTAGTCATGACGTATCGCTGGAACTTTTTCGGAAGCACCAGTAGCAAGTGAGTTGTAAAATTCTCTCCAAAATATACTGAGCGCCTCTCTCTTTACACCAGCACCTCTTCCGTCTTCGATGTTTCCTCTCTCGTCGATAAATACAATTTCAAGGCAACAAGACAAAATTATTTCGTCTTTAAATGCAATGATCATATCCTTTAAAACGTTATTGCAGTTAATAGCAATTTCTCTAACCAACTGAGTCTGAGTGTTCTCAACTAGATGATCGTTGACCAACTCATCGTGTGCATCAATGATTACATCTCATAATCTGCCAATACAAAAAAAAAGATCTCACTAGTCACAACCACATGGTCAAGGATACTTGTAAATTTCTCTACAGTATGTGGCAAGAGAGAAAAAACCCGAATTTAAAAATGTTGTGAATGGTGAATCCGATCTACACATATTTATAAAATTTATCCCAAACTTGTAAGAATAAGCCATATATTTTCCAATAACAACAACAACAACGTGGATGCTAAACAATTTTAACAATACTTTAAATTTATAATTTTTTATATTTTATAAATGCATTTTGATATCTAGTATACCACTGAATTACAATAATCGCCACGGTGATTACTTTTTAACAATGAATTTAAGGATTAACACCGAAAATGCAAAATATGCATGGTGTGCTGTGAAGCGTATGATAAGTGCCTTTTGATACTCATAATTGTAAAGTTGCATTCGTAACAATTTGGAATTGATACTGATTTCAAATTACTAAAGCCATGTAACAATTATCCTATGCAACTGTTAGGAAGTGCAAAATTTTGAACAGAGGACAAAAATCCTAAAGAAAAGGTGAAGTTTCTAAAGGGGGCAAATTTCCCAAAGGGGGGCGAGTTTCCTAGGAATTTTGCCCCCTGGGAGGGAAATAATACTAGGAATTTCCCCCCCCTGGGGAAAAAATTGTAGGGGTGGGGGTTAACATTCCTGGGACACCTTTATTTACAGCCAATTATAAAAGTGCCCCAAACAACATGCATGGTTATATATTCTCACTGCTCGCTTCCCCGCACAATACCTTTAACTGAAGAAATAGTAAGATTGGGGATAAATAATTTTCAGCCAAAGGTAGAGTGCGGCGAAGCTACCTCCGGAAGTGGCGCAGCCGAGAGAGGAGGTGGGTGGATCCCAAAACAGTTCAATGCCGTCCTTCCTTTTAGGTGGCAAATGCTCAAAAATACCGATTTTGTGCTACTTTTATCTGGCAATCACAGTATAATCTCACGTTAAACAGTGTGACAGTTAATGGGTAAATACCTCGGGCCTTCAATAATGAACTTTAAGGAGTTAAATTCTATCTAATTTGGAAAATCATTTACCTTGTAATAGAAGTGGTTCTTCCATGTCCATTTGACTCTGGTTGTTTTGCATTATTTGGCTAGATGGTTCATGCTGGGACAGCTGGGTCATATCTACAATAGTATCATCAGGTTGGACATGCCTGATCTGTTCCAGCTGGCAGGAAATTTCATGTCCAGATGCTTCAGTCTGGTTAATGTTGGTTTATCAAGGAGCACAGCAATTTGACTTGTTTCTCCGGGCTGGACTTGATTTGTTTGGTAGTTTATATTATCTATAAGTAATTTGAACAAATTGAAAATATTACAAAATTCTGAAATGTATACATTCCACAATTTCTTTAATTTTAACCCATGTCTGTCATCTCTAATCCATGCAAATCCATAAACAACAATAAAATCATCAGTCATCAGGATTAAATTTGCAAAAAAAGATCAGCATTGCACTGGAATTTTTTTCCAAAAAATTTTCAAGACATTGCAATGTTCTAGGAATTTATAATCTGATGAATTTTATTGTTTTAGGAGTTGTACTGTTTGTACATAATCATTCCTGAATTGGGATATGGAAAGGTGTACATGACAGTGAAAAGTGGAACTAAATGTCTTGGCTAAATGTTAAGTAAGCCAAGAGTGGGCACACACAGGCAAATGCAAATTTTGCAACTAAGAAGCTGCATAAAAAAAAATTGGTTACATGATATATAAGCAACCTGAACTTTAAGGTGTGATGGAATTGTGACTATAATTTTAACAAATCAAATTTTCAGTAGCGAGAAAAATTTACTTACATTCAAAAGCATTATTGCTTCACAAGGGTGGACCCTTACCTGGCAGGGAGATTGTAAGCAATTAGCTAGAGCTGTGCATAATTTCTGTACTCATAAAACAGGATGTACTTGTTAATTAACCCAGAGTTCATCATGGCCAAGCAACCCAATTGGAAAAAGTTGAAAATTTAATATAGAATTGCCTGGCCCCTAATTGCCAAATTTTGTGGTTTTGTTTGAAAAATGCCCTGCCAAATCCGCTATTTGACTTTGATATGGATACTTTTTTTGTAAGACTAGGAGAGGTGTGCACCCCCCCCCCCCAACAAGTAAATCCACCCATATAAGCTTCAAGCCTCCTATTTCATAAATAGAATATGTTCTGGCATTTCTTACCTTGCAATGCGTCAAATGAGTTTTCGTTTTCATTGATAGTTGATGGCATCCAATCATAATCATTATCATCAAATACATTATCAGGAAAATTATACCTTTGACGCTTCTCTTTATTCACAAGCTGTTTTAGGATTTGTCTACATGGCCTGATATACACTGGTTTGTTGTTACTGAAGACTCTGTTAATTACAGAACCAGTTAAGTATTGACCTGGTGCCAATGTAGGCATGAGCAGTGTTGTGTGGACAGAATGAAAAATCTCAATGTCAACGTCATCAGGTGGTGTTTCCTGAAAAGCTTGACATATTTCAAGTTCAATGTCACTCCACTCCTTGAAACTCGAAGGCACTGATAATGTGTCCATTTTCTTGCAAAAACACTTTACTTCCTTGACAGGGTATGTCCTTGTCATCTGGTCCTGAGAGTAAGATAATGTCACATGAGAACGGCCCAGTACATACTTTTTTTGTTTTTGGGTCCTTTCCTTTTCTCCAACGATTTGATTTCATTGCTGATCGTTGGTTACCAAAGTATCTTCTAGTGTTATACAAAGGATTTGGCTCCTGGAATAGCTGTGGAGAAGGTGAAACTGAAACGGAAGCTTGGGTTGTACCCTGGGTTGTACCCTGTGTTGTACTAATACTTGTGTGGTTTGTTCCCACGCTTGATGACAATGTTGTTGATGAATGTTGTCGTCCAAATACCTTCCTAACCTCACTCTCCACCGTGTCGCTTGTCCCAACACTACTAGAATTATTGGAAGATCCCTCAGGACCCACCAAGGCATCAGACAACTCCCCAATGCGGCTAAATATTTGTGAAAGAATCTCTTTTGCACCAGATTGACTAGAATCACCTTTTCCCAACGCCATGTTGCCCTGTCAGATTCGACACTAAACACAAATTTGAGGAAAATTTGGGGCGTAAAAATTCTCGACTGCAAAAAATATTCTGGAGTGTAAAAATGTTCTCGACTATAAAAAATTCTCGACTGCAAAAACTAATCTCGACTGTAAAAACATTTTCGACTGCAAAAAATATTCTCAAGTGTAAAAATGTTCTCGACTATAAAAAAAAATTCTCGACTGCAAAAAAAATCTCCAACTGTAAAAAATTCTCGACTGCAAAAAATAAAATCTCAACTGTAAAAAAAAGTTCTCGACGGTAAAAAAAAATCTCGACTGTATAAAAATATTCTCGACCAGGAAAAAATTTCTCGACTACTTGAAAGGCCATAAGTTTGTAGTGGATTGCCCACAGAACAAAATAACTTAGAACAGTTAAAAGGACATTTGCACTGCACATCATATGGTCTCATTTGAAACTGTTTTAAAAATTATAGATTAAACACTACTACAATTTTTTCATATCTTGCTTAGTTTCCAAAAATATGTGCCTGATCAATGAGCTATCATGCAGCTACAGTATCTTGGATATTTTTCCAGAACTGAAACAATGTCACAAGCTGGGTTAGCCATATAAAAGACTACCATAACATGCATATCCCCATGATCGAATTCCATTATCATTAATTTCTATCTAAATAATTTCAGTCTAAGCAAAGTATGAAAAAGGTTGAACAAAATTGTAATGCTGCAATTATCAACATTAGATATAGCATTTAGAATTTGTGGGGCATTGTCATATAATTGGGCAGCAATAAACATTTAAATTCAAACTGTTGAAACCAAAGATATTTATATAACAGGTTTGGATAATTTAATTTTGTTACAGTAGGAAACTATTAAAAGATTAAGTCAATCCAGAACGATTTAGTATTTATCCGATATTGATTTTCATAGCGAGCAGAAATAATTTGTGTAAATGGGAACAGTGACCATTTCCTAGATTGATCAATTGATAATAAGACTTGGCCTTAGCATTTATAATAGTTTCATAAAATGATAATATATTTGGGGTAAGAACATCACAATGTATTAATTATTTGAGTCTGAAGAATCCTCTTCAAAACCTGTGAAGGTCTTTTCACTTTGAAATTGTGTTTGGACTGCTTGATATACACAGGATGGTAATGGATTCTTAATTTACCCAATTTGCCATACACAAGATGAGTAAATTGCCTGTATGATACAGATCGAAGAAATCTAAAAAACAAGACATTCTGTGAGAAGCATAGTTTGATCTGATACCCTAGTATATATTATTATTATACAATGCTGATGCAATCTCGATTGGGATTGGCTAAAAACCTACAAACAATTCTCTATGTCTTGCCACCTACCAAGACATTGAAAATTGTCTGTAGGTGAGGTAATATTTAATGCACGACTTCCCCACACAAGACTCTCTAAAAGCTTCTGCATATAATTGTATAATAAAATAATTATTGAATTCAGCTTTCACATGATATCAATAATTATCCAAACTTCGGTCAATGTTACCTGCTTGAGCCTTCGGCAAATAACAATGATATCGGTCTTGATAATTCTTGATATCACACTCGGCCTCATCCAATTGGATAATTGTTTATAAATAACATATACTGTAATAGCCTTACTTGGAATTTCGACATCTTTTAACACTTCGTCAGAATGTAATGACTGAACACACCTTTCTATTTCTTGACAGCACTGTGTTTCATAAACATTCTGCAGCATATCTAACCACAATTATTGCATTTGCAGGTTTTGGTATTGAATAATAAATTATGTTGTTAATATTTGTATAAACTTAATTTTAATGTAGAACTCATTGGTAAATGGTCAAAACATGTGGTTATATATTTTAACTCGCCAGTCTGTAATGGGAATTTTCTTGTCCAATCTCTCTTGCAGGGCATTCACATGAACCTTTTTATTTTCCTTTCTATATAATTTTGAACCCATTCTTCATCTGCAATAGGCTCATCATCGTACAGTGCAGGCGCAGATACACTAGCAACATTTTTCTCACTAGCACTAGAAACATGGCCATGAGACGCTCCATCCGATAGTGATTCAAACTCCTCTACTTCAAGTTCATAATCTGATATTTCTTCAACTTCAGAAGCTGATGAAGATTCTTCAATGTAAGATTCGGATGTCGACATTTTCACAAAAATACTTATTTAAAAATTTTGACAACAATAGAAAACAATAGATGTTTATTGTAATTCGACACGAGTCAATTTACTTCTGTCGCTGGTATGACATCACAACCCTTATTCGTACTCTGACTCTTTTCTCCCGGCCCTGTATTGAAAAACCCTGTTTTTTGCCATGTTTGACCCAAAATATCTCTGGTAATATTTATCCTATCAGGAAGTGACATGTATCATTGGAATTGTCTCATTTTTTCAGATTTTTGGTGAAAAATGGTAATAATGTCATATGCACTTTAATCATTTTGGTTTTAGAGCTGGGAAACGAAATGAAGAAAAAAGGTTTTATAGAAATTTTGAGCACTTCAATACAGAGTTGTATTTAAATGATATGAGACAAATCGATTGGAATGATAAATATTGTAATTTAAATAATAATTTAAATAAAACCACACAGGATATAATTAACGTTATAAATGAAGTTAACAAACATGCTCCGATAAGAGGTGCATCACAAAGTAAATTGAGACAATTTAATAAACCATGGATCAGCTCTGGAATTTTAAAATCGATTAACACGAAACAAAAAATTGTAAAACACTCATTTCTATAGTAATAGTCAAGCAAAAATTAAAATGTATAAATTGTACTCTAATAAAAATTTCTAGAACCACTGAGTATTTTAATAAAATACAAAACAAGTGAAACTCCAAAAATTGATAACATTTTTTTTATTTATTAAAAAAAAATGTTATAGATCTTTGGAGTTTCACTTGTTTTGTATTGTATTCTAATAACACCCGATTAGCGCGTTTGACGTCGGCTGACAGCCGGAAATTTTGTCTCCAATTGCTCGGCTGCCAGCCGGGCTGTACTATAGTATACTGTTCGTTCAAAAAATGCGCGCATTTTGGAGACTGGTTCTAGAATGTTTCATAAGCAGAAAACCACCAAAATTACATTAAATTTTCCGAAAATCATCGAAATGCATCTAAATTCATCTTCCCAATGCATATAGCTAACTATGCGACAGGTAAAAAAACGAGAAAAAAACCCCAATTTCGGCAAAAAGAAAAATTCAAATTCGTTTGCGCGCATTCCGGGACCGAACTCACGACCTTCAGCACACAAGCTGAGTCTCTGAAGCTGAGTCTTGTCCCTCTGCGCCACCACGTCTTACACGGAAATTATGTTAATTTATTGTATATATACAGGTTATTCTTAGCCAGCGCGATTAAAGATTGCGTAAATATGTACACCATCGTACACGGCCAAGGGTACAGTAGCAGCCGAGCCGTATCTACACTTTAATACAATACTTACAATACATCGCGGCATAGATCACGGCTTCCAGCCGGGGTTATTTAACTGTAATACAATACTACCATGCAATACGAGTGTCAGCCATGCCTGTCGGTAGTATACTGTAGTATACTACGATACTTCATGGCTACCAGCCGACAATACGGCTATCAGCCGGGCCTGTCTGTAGTATACTATAGTATACTACAATACATCACGGCTACCAGCCGGGGTTATTTAACTGTAATAAAATACTACAATGCAATACGAGTGTCAGCCGCGGAGCCTGTCGGTAGTATACTGTAGTATACTACAACACATCACGGCTACCAGCCGGGGTTATTTAACTGTAATAAAATACTACAATGCAATACGAGTGTCAGCCGAACCTGTCGGTAGTATACTGTAGTATACTACAATACATCGCGGCTACCAGCCGGCAATACGGCTATCAACCGGGCCTGTCTGTAGTATACTATAGTATACTACAACACATCACGGCTACCAGCCGGGGTTATTTAACTGTAATAAAATACTACAATGCAATACGAGTGTCAGCCGAACCTGTCGGTAGTATACTGTAGTATACTACAATACATCGCGGCTACCAGCCGGCAATACGGCTATCAGCCGGGCCTGTCTGTAATATACTATAGTATACTACAGACACGCCCGGCTGATAGCCGTATTGTCGGCTGGTACCCGCGATGTATTGTAGTATACTATAGTATACTACAGACAGGCCCGGCTGATAGCCGTATTGTCGGCTGGTAGCCGTGAAGTATCGTAGTATACTACAGTATACTACCGACAGCCATGGCTGACACTCGTATTGCATGGTAGTATTGTATTACAGTAAAATAACCCCGGCTGGAAGCCGTGATCTATGCCGCGATGTATTGTAAGTATTGTATTAAAGTGTAGATACGGCTCGGCTGCTACTGTACCCTTGGCCGTGTACGATGGTGTACGTATTTACGCAATCTTTAATCGCGCTGGCTAAGAATAACCTGTATATATACAACAAATTAACACATTTTCCATGTAAGACGTGGTGGCGCAGAAGGACAAGACTCAGCCCGTGTGCTGAAGGTCGTGAGTTCGGTCCCGGAATGCGCCCAAACGAATTTGAATTTTTCTTTTTGCCGAAATTGTTTTTTTTTCTCGTTTATTTACCTGTCGCATAGCTAGCTATATGCATTGGGAAGATGAATTTAGATGCACTTCGATGATTTTCGGAAAATTTAATGTAATTTTGGTGGTTTTCTGCTTATGAAACATTCTAGAACCAGTCTCCAAAATGCGCGCATTTTTTGAACGAATAGTATACTATAGTACAGCCCGGCTGGCAGCCAAGCAATCGGAGACAAAATTTCCGGCTGTCAGCCGGCGTCAAACGCGCTAATCGGGTGCTAATAAAGTAAATAAGTTCTCTCTTAAAGGCCAAATTTATTTTGAGATATTGGTCAAATTTCATGCTGGTTCAAGTGTCATGATGCTGTTGGAAAAGATATGCAATAACTATAGGAAAGTTATACAGGTTGTCTAAAAAAACGCTATGGAAATTCAACAGGCTGCCGTGCATCATAAACGTGGCTAAACAATTCAATTTTTGCATAGGACGAAAGAACAGTTATTTAGCTATACAATGATACTCTTTTTAAATCGAAACGATGCGAAATGGCCAGATACTCTTCAAATAAAAATTGCAGGTCGAAATCGCATTCTTCCACCGTTGGGAATTGCATGGAAAACAAAACACAGACAATTCCCAAGAGGAAAATAATGAATGTTAAATTACCTAAATAAAACCTAAATACCTAAAAACCTTAAATTACCTAAATAACGAACGTCATTATTGCATTTAAACATGGTTCAATTAACCACTGAACAGAAAACATCTGTTAACCAAAACGTTTTACGAAACAAATACCTTCGGCAGCAGGCTGGTGTTGCTTTTGGATGGATTAACTTTGCATAATTAATGTCTTTTCCATTCTCAACGGTGGAAGAATGTGATTTCGACCGACAATTTTCATTTGACAAGTATGTGGCCATTTCTCATTGTTACAGTTTAAGAAAGGTATCTTAGAAAAGCTAAATAACAGCTCTTTCGTCTTATGTAAAAGTTGAACTGTTTAGCTATGTTTATGATGCACAACAGCTGTATATCAAATTAGTCCTCATAAACTGGAGAACAAAGTTGTAATGTTTTTATTCCCAAATATTTACACTAATATTGAGCTCTGAAAAACAAATTAAATGTTAAAATATTTTTTAAAAACTAGAATATTGAACTTCAAATTCCTATATAACCTACAATTATGTCACAAGTTAAAAATGTCTGGTACTATTTAAAAATAAGGGTTTCACAAATATATCCTGAACATTTGGTGTGGTTTGGCAAACTGCTCTTTGCAAAAATGGATATTTAGTGAACCATAGTTTTTAGTTGAAAATCCAAGTATCGTGTTACAGATTAGTTGTCATTATCATTGACTAAAATTTCAGCTTTCAAGAACAAACTCTAAAGTTGGAAACAATCAAAATATTGTTAAAAACCATGTTATTTAATATGAAATATAAACGTTTTACGTACGATACATGAATACAATATATACGCTTCGACACATACGATCAGGAGAGAGAACAACGTGTTCGTAAGTCATGTGATCACCGTCCAATCATATCTCTTAAAACAAAAATACTTAATGTATGCAATAATATAAATGATTATTACTAATTTCAACACTCCCACTTAATAATTATTTTGTCATTGTGTCCTATTGAAAATATTCGATAATGTCAACTTATCTTAACTTCCTTAGTATGAACAAACATTCAACATGCTTCTTAGTCTTTGAAATATCTTCTTTGTTAATCCCTTTGTCATTATGTCCGCTAACATATGTTCAGTTGGACAATAGATAACTTTAACTTCATTTGATAATACTTTTTCTCTTACGAAGTGAAACCGGACGTCTATATGCTTTGTCCTGTTATGAAATCTTGCGTTCTTGGAAATTTCAATAGCTCCCTGGTTGTCTTCGTACATTGTAGTGGGTTCTTCACTTTTACAACCAATATCTGATAATAATCCCCTCATCCAAATTGCTTCTTGCGTTGCTTGGCTTAATGCTACGTATTCCGCTTCGGTAGTTGATTTCGTCACACTCGCTTGTTTCTTGCTACACCAGCTCACGGTACTATTTGCGACTTTAAACACATAACCTGAGGTTGAACGTCTAGAATCAACGTCTCCTGCCCAGTTGGCGTCAGAATAACCATACAACTCGTCTCCATTCTCATCATCATTTTCACTCGTTGTAAATTTCAATCCAAAATTTAAAGTTCCTTTTATGTATCTTAGAAGTCTTTTGACTCCATTCCAATGTTCCTTGCTGGGATTTGACATGTATGAAGACAATATACTAACTGCAGCAGAAATGTCTGGTCTTGTCGCTGTCGAGATGTATGTCAAACATCCTATAGCCTGTTGATATAAATTCTTATCAAATCCTTCTTCTTCTTCCGTTCGCTTATGGTAAGTTGTTTCAAGAGGAGTAGAGATCGGTTTGCAATTAGCCATACCAAATCTGTCCAACACGCTCTCTAGATACTTCTGTTGACTGATGAATAGCGTTTTGGTTTCTCTGTCACGCTTAATTGTCATTCCGAGTATAAAATGAATTTCTCCTTGATCCGTCATTTCAAAATGCTTACATAACAAGTCCTTCTCTGCGTTTAACATGTTGATGTCGTTTGAGATAGGAATTATGTCGTCAACGTACACAGCCAAAATCACAAAACTTATGAATCCATTGTCATTCTTTATGGATTTCACATAAATGCAATTATCTGCATTGCTCTTTCTATAACCGTTTTTCGTCAGAAAACTATCGAGTGTTTGGTTCCAACACCTCGCTGATTGCTTAAGTCCGTATAAGCTCTTCTTAAGCTTGCAAACGTATTCTGGATGTTCTTGGTCAACGAATCCGTCCGGTTGGGACATGTAGATATCATGTTCTATGTAGCCATTTAAAAATGCTGTCTTGACATCCATCTGATGAATTTCTAAGTTGTGCTTGTTTGCCAAAGCTAATAGCGTTCTTATACTGGAATGTCTTGCAACAGGTGAAAAGACTTCCTCGTAATCGATTCCGGGTGTCTGTGAATATCCCTGAGCAACAAGCCGTGCTTTATGTCGGTCAACATTCCCATCTGCATCACGCTTGATTTTCATCACCCATTTCGATCCAATGACATTACACCCTTCCGGTGGTGGTACCAATTCCCATGTTTCATTACTAATTAGTGAATTGTATTCTTCTTTTAATGCTTGTTTCCATTTACTTGCATTTGCACCGTTCAAGGCTTCACTTATTGATTGTGGCTCTTCGTTTTCTGCAGTCAAGGATTCAGTAATATTGCACTCGTCTGGACTAAATTTCTTTGGTGCTTTTCTCTGTCTCTTTGTCTCGAGATTTTCTACTTGCTTCATGAAACTTTCTTCGTATGATTCTCCCACTGCTGGCAAATTTTCTTCGTCCTCAATGTCAGGTACAGTCGGTACAGGGACTTGATCTTCAGCATCATGGTGTTGTTCATGATCAACACTTAATTTCTCTTCTGGAACATCTTCTCGTATGATTAACTCTTTAGTGACTACTTTAAAATCATGAAACTTGTTTTCATAGAATACTACATCTTTACTTCGCACAAAATTCTTTGATTCTATATCATATAGTTTATAACCCTTCGTGTCGAGTGGATACCCAATAAATACAGCTTTTCGCGATCTAGGGTCAAGCTTTCGTCGTAGATTGCTGGGTATATGGATGAAACAAACTGATCCAAATACTTTCAGGTTTGACACATCTGGCTTTTTACTGAACCAGAGTTCATAAGGTGTTTTCATATTTAGGGATGTAGTGGGACTTCTATTGTGTAAGTACACAGCTGTGTTGACAGCTTCTGCCCAAAAGTTGATCGGCATGTTCGCATGAAATATCATGGACTTGGCAGATTCCATGAGTGTTCGATTTAATCTTTCCGAAACACCATTTTGCTGTGGAGTGTAAGGATTACTGTACTGATGTACAATTCCTTTATTTACACAATATTTGGAGAAATCATTAGAAACATATTCTCCACCATTGTCTGTTCGCAATGTTTTTACTTTCAACCCAGTAAAGTTTTCAACCATGCTAACATATTCTTGGAATTTCTCATAAACCTCTGACTTATTTTTCAGAAAATAAACTGTTACATATCTAGTGTAATCATCAGTAAATGTTAAAATGTACTTACTTCCACCAATGGAGTCAGTGTTCATTGGTCCGCATACATCACTGTGAATTAATTCCAGCGGTTGAGTCGTTCTATTAGAGCTTTGTTTTGGGACAGGTATTCGATGCATCTTTGCTCTTGTGCATGCTTCACATTCTTGGCTGGTTTCACCCTTAGTATATTTCATACCAGTGACTAAGTTTCCTTGTGCCAATTTATTGATATATCCAAAGTTTAAGTGCCCATATCTACAATGCCATTCCCTTAGTGTTGGGACTTTTGTTGTTGTAATGTTAACATAGTCTGGTTGAGTGTTTACAACATATAACTTGCTTTCGAGCAAATGTCCAATGTTGATTGTCTTCCCATTCTTGATTATATAACATTTTTCATCGTCGAATATAACCTCAGCTTCCATTTGGGTCATCGCTGGGACTGATAGTAGATTCTTCTTAATTTCTGGGACAAATAATACTTTATGTAAATTTAAAGTAATGTTGTCTGCACCATCATTACATTCAAGATTCACTTTTCCTTCGCCATATGCTTTGATGACTCTATTATCTCCAAGATAGATCTTAGATGGTTCCTCATATTTCTTGTAATCAGTTATAATATTCCTCTGAAATGTCATGTGTTTAGTTGCTCCACTATCAATGAACCATTGATCATTTTTCCCTTTATTGGTGGATGTAGAGCTTAAAGCTATTCCTTCATTTCCACGTTTATCTTGCTCGCCTTCTTCAGTGATATTTGATTCATTTGATTTCTTGTTAAGAGGACAGTTCTTAACCATGTGACCAAATTTCTCACATTTGAAACATTTAATTCCTCGCATCTGGTTTGTCTCCTCTGATTGTGTACACCACTGTCTCGGGTATGGTTGCCATACTGTCTGCCACCACGAAACTGATGATTCCTTCCACGGAATGAATAATTACTCTTCCTCGAAAATAATGCATCGTTCTGACCTGGACTCTCTGTTTGCTTTTCTTTTCGCTTCATATACTCTTCAACCAATAAGCTTTTGACATTTTCCCATTTAAGATCTTCTACTTTCTGAGCATTCAAACTTGAAATAAAGTTTTCATACGATTCAGGAAGGCTTCCTAAAATCATTGTGGCAAATTTCTGATCTGAAATCTCCTCTTTCATTTCTCGCAATTGCTCTGCCAGTGTTGTCATGTACGTAATATGCTCCATTATATCGCCATCTTCTTTCATAGTAGCAGCATAAAATCTGCGGTTTAATCTTACGATTTGAGTGATTGAAACGAACTCGAATTGCTTTCGAAGTGTCTCCCAAGCTTCCAAAGGATTTGTTGTTGTACTAATGTGAACTTGTAGATTCTTATCAACGCTTAGTGCAATCAATGAATATGCTTTGTCAGATTTTAGTTGATACGCACTTTTTACCTGTGCAGTGGCGGTTTCAGCTGGCTGTTCCTCAGTTGCATTTACAAAACCCCATAATCCTCGCTCCAATACTAATTTCATGTTATACTTCCAAGATTGGTAGTTCTTTCCATTTAAATGTTCAATCTTTGTAATTTCCCTTATTTCCGCCATATTGAATTTTTCCTTCGCAAAAATAGCTTAGTTTGCACTTTTCAACGGCACGTTTACGCTTCAGTAAACACACGATATTATTCCCGTCAATTAAGACATACGTATCGTACACTCAAGCGGCACCTGGGCCCATAACCTGTTAAAAACCATGTTATTTAATATGAAAAATAAACGTTTTACGTACGATACATGAATACAATATATACGCTTCGACACATACGATCAGGAGAGAGAACAACGTGTTCGTAAGTCATGTGATCACCGTCCAATCATATCTCTTAAAACAAAATACTTAATGTATGCAATAATATAAATGATTATTACTAATTTCAACATAATCCTTGGTTAAAATTTAACCTAGTGTTTTTGTTTGTGTGTTTCTGCATGCCTGTTTACTTCGAAGCTTTGAAGAAAACTTTCATTCATCCAGACAAGATTTCTGAAGAAATATTTCTAAATTGCTTGTGTGATGTTACTCTAAGTGTATATCCACACCGGGCAGGCTTGAAAAATATGCGCCTGGCCACGGTGGGATTCGAACCTACGACCTTTGGAATACTAGCCCAATGCTCTGCCAACTGAGCTACGCGGTCAGGTCGGTTCGAGTATGCGATACCGGTACTTCGGAACTGAGTCTACAGTAGTCCCTTCGATATCAGTGTAATCTAATAATCATGATATTTGCTGTGTTGGACTGTTGATGTAATGTACTCAGGTGAATAAGATGATTTTGTGATGTTACTCTGAGTGTATATCCACACCGGGCAGGCTTGAAAAATATGCCTGGCCACGGTGGGATTTGAACCTACAACCTTTGGAATACTAGCCCAATGCTCTGCCAAGGAATACTAGCCCAATGCTCTGCCAAGGAAATCTCCCAATGCCTTTGCCGAAGGTCGTAGGTTTGAATCCCGGCCACCGTGGCCAGGCATATTTTTCAAGCCTGCCCGGTGTGGATATATACTACTCAGAGTAACATTACACAAGCATCTTATTCACCTGAGTACATTACACCAACACAGCAAATATTATTTTAAATTCATAGACAATTTGCTTTGAATTTTATCCCAGGGTTAAACTAACGGGCATTTGAACAACTGGCCCCTGGAGGGTGACTACCTCACAGGTGTTTGTTGTGGATGAATATTGATGTTGTTGTGGATGATGTCATCCTGATCCTAATCCTAACTGCAACAAATTCCCATGAGTTATTCAATAGGCCAGCAAAAGGAGGGAAAACATTTGGGAAAACAAATGGTTCCTTGCTATTTCTCAAATGGCAAGGCATAACATTTGTTCTCCAGATAATTTGAGTGAAGTTTGCAATGTATAATCACATAATTACTGTGTGGTACAAAGAATTTGTCATTCTGGTTAAACGTTTCAATAGAATATTCACAAAATAATATAAAATAACCATTGATACTTAAATGCTGATTTTCTTTCAGTACTTCAGCTAATGGGAATTGTCTCTTTAATGCATGTTCTATTGCGTTAATCGGGAATGAGAGTTTGTCTGCTCGCTTGACATGCCTCACCAGTATTGAACTGTTTGAGAATGCCAAATACTATGCTATAACCATCCACTCATTGAGTCCCAGCATAAAAATATAGCATTCACTTCACTTAAAAATGCCTTTGCCATGTGTGTATCTGATGCAGCACTTACTATTTTCGAGAATTGTAATGAAATTGCAGCAGTTTTAGAAGAAGCAAAGGAAACTGCAAAAAATTACACATTCTCATCCATGGTGTACATGTAATTGTTTGCCTTGTCCACAGTAATTCAGTGTGCCATTCAGTCATTCTACCCACTCACCAATGATACTGTAGTGAAAGAAAATTGGGATTCCTTGGATTCAATTGTACAATATATCCACATGATTATCTTGATGGCAGTGCAATTGAATATGTCTATACCTTTCGTTGTACTGCGATGCCACCGTCTTATTTGGTTGATAGAAGAATTCCATCTACCAAAAATAATTTTATTACCTTGTGCAAACCAGTTAAAGCGCTTCAGCCACGAGACCATTATTTTAAAGCACGCCTTCCAACCTTATTGAAGTCTGCCATGCCAGTTCGTCCTAAAGTTCCTCCTACAGTTCATACTAAAGTTTCTATTTAATACTAAAGTTTCTTCTGCTCCTTCCTCTACACAAGTGACTACATCTACTAAAAAGCAGACGACTGGTACAAAAAGAAAACAAATTAGCTTAGATCGATGCGCTTCTTGTGAAACGAGCATACAACACACAGAAACTGTAGACAGTGAAATCAAATTTCCCAGCACTAGTAAAGGAATTTCATCTGTAACTCCAAACACTGGTCCTACTTCAGAAAAATCTAACACCAAAACACAACGAACTTCTACTAATTCGTGGCCAGATGATATCTACAACTACGTAAATCTGGTGTCCAGTCTTCCTGATTCAAAAAAGTACGAAATTCTGTGCAATCATTGCCATTGGAAACCTGGTTCTGATTTTTCTTTTCCTCCACACGAAAATATTGGTAGACGTTTCCGGTTGGCATGGTTATCACGATATCCATGGTTGGCTTACTCTGCTGTGGCAAACGGTGGTTTTTGCGTCACTTGTATTCTTTTTGGCGGTGAAAACACGCATAATGCAAGCAAGCTCCAACGATCGATGACCAGTGCTCTTCCTCCAAGTGCTTCTGCTGTCCAGAAACTATGTCAGCATTGTGAAAAATCCAATGTTCGTGCAACGGCGGTCGACAGCTCTCTGTGTTACACAGTTTAAGCGAATGATCGAGAATAAGACACTTGGTACCGATGTGTAGCTAAAAAAACCCCACCCCGTAAAAGATCTACGTTGCAACTGAAACGTCAAGATGATTGAGTTCGATGTACAGCCCTAAATGGACATTTTTTGCTACGAAGAACCTGAAATACACAGGAACAGTACGTGTGCAGCCTTTGTTGACGGTACAGAGTTGTGGTTTTATGTAAGTACGGTGATTTTGTAACATTCTAATGTTGTAACGTTCGCTGAAGAACATGGTACACTCTAAAAACACTCTGGTTAAATTCAACCAGGAACTGGATCAATAAACTACCTAGCACATTCCTGGTTAAATTAACTGATTTCCTGGTTAAAAATTATTGATTCAACAAATATCTGGCCATACTTCTTTGGACTTTTAACCAGGAAAATGGTTTAATTTTTTTAACCAGGATTGTGTAGGTGGATTTTTAACCCCATCCTGGTTGAATTAACCCAAATTTAACCAGAGTGTTTTTAGAGTGTATGTTGTTTAAATATTTGACTTATTTAGTGCGTTTCGTTATTTGCTGTCTAAAGTATGACGTAATTAATGACGAATGATATGATAGAATTCGATGCTCAGAACTCAGGAAATGGCATTTCCGGCGTTCAAATTTCAAAAATTTAATTAATTATGCGCGGTTTTGGAGTGCGCCACGGTCAGGGTTTTAGGTTGGATCCGCGGCTGCTTTATATAAAGAATACTAATAAGACAGTATATCTATTGAATTTGTAGTCGTGTTTGAAGCTGTTTAATAAACTCACAGGTCGTGTTTTATTAGGTCTAAAGCCACTCGCGCTGCGCGGCTGTGACTTTAAACCTAATAAAACACTCCTGCTCGTTTATTAAACAGTACATAAATCGCTATCTAATCTTATTCAGATAATACCATCACAGTTTACTATACAGTATCAATACTTTACAATGTGATGTAGTTTTGACATGTATTCAGTATATATATACAGTATGTTGTCCAGTTTCGGGACACAAAGTAGTTTTTTCGCTATATCTCATCGTTAAAGATAGCTAGATGAATGAAACTTTCACAATTTGTAGCTATATCCATTGGGAAACATGTATGAAAAGCAAAAAACCCAGAGCTTTTTTATTTTATGCACATTTGATCAAAGTCGTGAGCAACATTAGTGTCCAGTTTCAGAACAGCTTGTCGAGTTTCGGGACAGCAATTCATGTGCAGTAAATGATCGTGATTTGACACACATGTAAGCTAAATTTTAATGTTAAATGTTGAACTTGAATCACATTTTAATGTAAATATATCTACAAAAGTTTAGTTATGGTTAGTAATGTTATTTTTTTCTGCCATTTGGTCGATGGCATATCGAATTTTTAAAAGCACACCATCCAGACCTTTGGCTTTGTATTGCATATACTTTGTATTGCACTAGAATCCTGTACTAGCGTAAAATAATTTACTATACAATAAAGTATCTTTTTTTATTTCTCTGAACGTTTTTTGCAATGAAAAACAACGAGTTTCTACGTTTTTGCATAATAGTCCGATAACAGATCGTCGGTGTCCCGATACTGGACAAGAAGATGAAAAATGGCATAAATATTCAAAATTTCATTACGTCGTAAATATTTGAAAAATGGTCCAATTTTTTACCTCAAATAAAATTTAAGCCTTTTATCTCTATTTCAATTGAAAATCATTGCAGTTTCCTTGCTGGGCTTCTAAGAATTTAGTTCTTCAAGTGCAACACTACATTTACCGCGCCGTAAACTACTCAATTTTAGAAAAATAATTTTTGACTTAGGCCCGTTTTATACGTCGGATTTTGGTCGCGTCGAATGCAATTAAGACAATAGATAATGAGATGATAAACCTCATTAAGCTTCATTATCTATTGTTTGAATTGCATTCGACGCGACCGAAATTCGACGTATAAAACAGGCCTTACCTTCACTAAAAATTGTAAAGCTCCAAGAAAAACAGTTAATAACTGTTATAATTATAACCTACCGTTATAATTTTTTATTTTTGTTTGCAAAGAAAAAATTTGCGATGAAATTGAACTGTCCTAGTACTGGTACTGTCCCGAAACTGGACAACATACTTCTCAGCATCTGACTCCCAGACTGTGACTGTAAAGTATTATTTTTGCGCGGGGAACTTTTCGCCGTAAATTATAAATGGCAGTTGCGCGGAAATGAAGGCAGAACATTTGAGAAAATTTCGAAAATTTCTCTAGATGGTCTTAAATGGCATTTTCAGAGTTTTCTCTCGCAAGGCCCAACACGTAAGAGACAAAATAAATCATTAGTTCATAAAAAATATGCAGATTATGTAGGATTTTCTTGAAAATGCGCAGACAGAAATTCAGCTAAAATTTCTGCGCGGGGTACTCGTTCCCTGCGCAGGCCAAACTTTACAGTTGGTGACTGACTCTGAGGAATAATCACCTTCCAGAAATCAGAAAAATAGTCATAGATAGGTTACATTGTACTTCAAAGTATACAACTAAATATTAATTTAAAACAGAATTTGTATTGTGAGTATCGATATCATTATCGACATTTATCGTATCGAAAATATTCATGAAAAAATACTCGGTATCGTATTGATTCTAAAATCCCAGTATCGCCCACCACTATCCCAGAGCCAACAACACATTGAAGCGCAGTTCTGGGTGTAAGTCCAGGGCACAGAATAAGGTACACAGAAGGCCGACTTCTTCGTTTTTCCTATAATTTTCCTATGATTTTGGCGTAACCCGTGATTCGTCATCAAATACTGACGCCATGGTCCTAGCCAGTGCGCGTCTGAGAGGCATTCACCCCCCTGATATCATTCAAAATGGCGGATGTCCAGGGGGGGAATGCCTCTCAAACCCGCACTGGCTAGGACCATGGCGTCAGCATTTTGATGATGAATCATGGCGCGGCAGCGTTACTCGAGTCGACCTTCTGTGTACCTTATTCTGTGTCCAGGGCGAGGGTACTAATTCCGCCAGAGTATTTACCCCCGGGGAATCGAAAGCATTAGCAAATTCTAAAGTTCATTAATGATTGCGGGTGTGGGTAACTGTGCGTGGGTGGTCATCCTCACTGATCTCAAAATGGAGCGGAATGAATAGCGAACATTGATTGGTCCATTTTAAAATTTATTTATTTATTTATTTATTTATTTATTTACTTTGCCATCATACTTATACATTCATTGGCTGGGAAACCACAACAGCTATTGCCAATTACAGCGGCCCCAATAGTTATACAGAAACAATTTACAAGGTATACTAAACACACACAACAGACAATACTTGAACAACAATTTGCATTATAACGACTGCATGACAACAGATGACAGGACATTTCTTAATTTCTTGCAAATGTATTTCATTTTTGCAAGATTTTGTAAATTTCAAAAGCTTTTTGAGAGAAAAAAGGCGAAAGAATTGCCAAACTAAGGGAGTAAAGGCGCCCACGGCCACGTTAATGAATGTAAGTTTGTATTAAGTATTGATGTATTGTTTGTTATACCGCGAGCAATCCCTCGGGAGAAAGGAGGGACCGCTGACAACACATCAAGAAACAAAATACGCCCACTTTTCGCTCTTGTCAAGTTGGCTCTGCGTTTGCATAAACATTACTTATATCCAAATAAATCTATCCAATAGGAACTGTTAATGTCATGTTTATTTATAAAATCAACATTCAGTCTGGAGATTATTTATATCATAATTACTATGTATCAGATTTGATTGACATACGTTTTGATTTCGACCAATTTCCTTCCTGGATGTGTTGTCGGCAGTCCCTCCTTTCCTTTCGCATGCCCGGTAATCTAATTAAACCCACGGAAAGTCTACTTAAAAGCTGGTCGTTGCGTATAATGAAAAAAGAGAGCATATAATTTCAATGTATCTTTATTGATTACCCTTTTTTATTATATTAAAATTTTTAAATAAAAAAGGAGGCAAAGTTATGTGCATGCGGCAATTTGAAATCATTTTATTTCAAACTCAAAGTTTGTCGATAAAGGTTAAGTTTTATAGTTTTGATTTATAAAGAACATTTTTAAATGTTTTGCGAAGCGTTTGTGGTTGAATCTGACTGTACAATAAATCGAAGCTTATATGACATATAACATATAACCATGACAACAACTTTAAATACTTCATTTTCGGAAAATGTAATGGTTTTGTCAGTAAGGCGAGGGTTTCTGCATGCATGTATTTTCTAGTTTAGAACGTAAGTAACGACTACTGTTACACTTCAGACATATAGACATAGTCATAGTCTTCCATGTCCTTGGATCTTCTTTGTTGAAGCATTCTCTCAGGGCTGTCAGGTAATAACTTTGTAAAGCAGTTTTGAATTGCCTAATATTAATGCCAAGATATCTCAGTGTAGTTGGTAAAGAGTTCAAGGTTCTAGTTGCACAGATAAAGAAGGAGCATTGGTAGGTAGTGGTTTTGCATGTTTGCCGGACGGAAGGAGATTTGGTTGCCACTGGAGGATCTAGTCGTTCTGATTGGAGATATGACTTCAGGGAGGATGTCGTGGGACACGTCGACCAAGCCGTTCACCTCATGTTCCTCCTGCCTTCAATCTCAAACAGATCGTCAAACGATCGAGCTACACGTGGTAACCGAATATCTTAGACAAAGTATTTACAAATATTTCTAAATATTTTGACTGCCCTTGCGTTGTTGTTGCCCTTGGCTCTCATCTGACCCAATTCAATTGTATTAATTGTTGAATATTTGAATCCTCTTGTATCTTATACAATTTTAAACTCAAGATCTATCCGTTTGGTCGGAGAAAAGTTGTGCCATGTTAATTGGTCCCCATCAGTAAATTCCCATTGTATTCTCTGCAATCTTGTGACGAACAGTTTCACTTCTTTACCTCCACTATCAATGAGTTGATTGTACGCTACGTTCCATTCAGACGCGCGAGAGCCGATAAAGCACTATAGGAACAAGGTAAATGCTCTGTGCAAAAAAACACGCAACTAATAATAATAATAATAATTTTAATATTTATATAGTGCAAAATAACATTGTCATTGATATACAATATGATCTAATGCGCTTTACGCAATTTCCCGCAATTAACGTTATACCTACCGCGGGAAAATAAGCTTAAATTCCCGCGGGAGGAATAACGTTGCGGGTCTTCACCGCAGGCTAGATCTAAGGCTGTGGCCGGACGAGTTTTTAACGTTGCTTTGTCTGCACCTAAGGCAAGATCTAAGGCTGTGGGCAGACGTGTTTTTCACATTAATAAGATCCTTAATATAGTCCAGTGCCAAGTCATGGATAGCCTTCAATGTTATCAGCAGTATTTTAAATTTAATTCTATATTCTATGTGATGGGCAGCCAGTCAGTGGAGTCGATACAGAATATGAGTTACATGACACGCATATCACCAACCAATAACTGGTCAATCGTGACTTTCTTCAGCTGTTGACGAGTCCCAATGATCATGAATTATGTTTTTCCTTCGTTCAGCTTCAACTTATCGGTTATCAATTCATCCATGCTTTAACGGATTTTATATATTTCTCCGTAGCTTCCATCGTGTCTTCTTGACATTGTGTTGTTTCAGATTTAAAAAACTCATTAATAATTCATGAGGAAAATTCAACACAAATGAATGTTTAATCAATGTTTGTATATCGGATAAAGATTTGTCCTGATTTACATAAACTTCAGCTTTGATTTTCTCGGCTTAGACAATGTTTATTTTAAAAATTACTTCGCCAATAAACTCATAAGATGGGTCATTCGCATCCGATCTTTATCTGATATACAAACTCTCGCCTTCGGCTCGAGTTTGTATATCAGATAAAGATCGGCTGCTCATGTTTTAACTAGTATACTTAAACGCTAGATAAAGCTTGGTATCATCAGCATACGCACGGGCATTTGGTAGGTGTTGTTTTACCACTTCAAAGAGTTTCCTAGATTTAAATCAATTTATTGGACCATGTCCAAGCGGTAGAGTGCGAACGGGACTCAATGTCCCATGCGAGGCACTCCCCCGTTACAAACTAAAGATTTCTTAAATATTTGCATCAATAATAGCTATGAAAAAACATATGCCAATTACTTGAGCACCAACTAATTCTTAAAACCGCACGCAACTTACAATAATGGTGCCTGAATAAGGGTACAGTACGTTTACACACAAACGATCGGTTGGCCGATTTCAGGTATTGCCGAATGTTAAAATGACAAAAGTTATATCAGTTGACAACACAGAGTAGACAGATATACAGAACTACAACTAGTGTACCCACCTTTTTGTGCGCGTGCTCGGCAAGTTACTAGATGCATGCATGCATCCCATTGGATGGCGGTTCGCTTTAACCGCTCGCGGAACTTGCCGAGAACGCGCAGTTGATAATTTTTAAATTTTTTTTTTTATTTTTTTTTTTATTTTTACCCGGTCGCCTGAAAAAAAGTGGGTACATGAAAACGTACGTTTCCGCAGCGCTTACGACGGCCAATTACAGCTCTGCATGTATCCACTTTGTGGTTGACAATGTCGTCAGATGACATTGACAGCGTATTTTAATATCATTTAAATAAAACTGAATCCAGCCTGAGCCAAAATCGGCCCGACCAATCGCTATGCGCAAACGCACCTTAAGAATTTTTGGATTTAGTATTAAATGAGAATCCAACTACTTTAAATTCTTTCACAATTAAGAATGTGAAAATGTATAGCACCGCCCCTGCGGGCAATAACGGTGTATTGGTATCGCTATATACCCACGTATTTCAACGCGCATGCAAACATAATTACACAAAGAAAATGATAATGTACTTAAACAAGGTATAAACTTTTATTTCTTTACAAATATCGTCGAATTATTGAGCCTTTTGTGCGGTAAAACACTGTGGTGTATTAAAACCAAAAACCAAAACGTTTTTTTACACGTTGTCGTCCTATTTACCGCGGGATCGCCCCTCATCTCAATCAGTACTTCATGTAAGTCTGTTATCGTATCGAAAGTTCTAATAACGGCTGAAGTCATACCAACACACCGGGAGGATGGGGTCGATACGATACCACTTTTAACAAAACAACAGAATATAAAATACGTGTCCGTAATAATCCTAGTTCTATGTTTCCGTTTTTCAAACATCTTCCTTGTCTCCATCCTCTGTTTGCACGGGTACGAGTAGTGCCAAACGCTGAACGCTTCGAGAAATAGTAATAGCTTCACTGATTCCATACTCTTGCCGATGGTTTCCAACACGAAAGTTCTTGTACGTTACCAGAACTCGACGGACTTTTCCATCCTGATCAGGAAAGACTTCTTTAACAACTCCGAGACGGTATTCTCCCCGCATCACATTCTTGTCCGCGATCATAACGACGTCACCGGGACGTAAATTTCTTGTGTTAACATGCCATTTGCGACGTACAACTAGAGAGGTTGCGTATAGTTGTATCCACTTTTCCCAGAAATCTTCTACGGCTGTTTGTAACAGGCTGTATCTCGTCTTCGGACTCTGGCTGCACGTGAAAGGTTGCCATCCTCCAGGATTCTTGGCTGTCGAGCGTCCTAACAGGAGACTATTCGGAGTAAACACGTTTAGATCAGAATCGAGGGTAGGCAATGTTCCAATTGGCCTCTCGTTGAGTAGATTCGTAGCTTCAGAGCACACCGTCAGGAACTCGGGCACCGGAAGACGTCGCTTGCCAACCGCAAAGACAATTGCTCTCTTGGCTGCCTTCACAAGAGACTCCACTGCTCCTTGATACCAAGGACTATCTGCTGATCCAAATTTCCACGTTAGACCATTTTGCAGACCACTCTTGTCAACTTGTGTAACTCGCTTCGATCGATCTTATCCCAGGCTTCTTTAAGCTCTCTTTCTGCTCCGATTAACTGTGAACCAGGATCACTGTAGATGAATTCAGGCCATCCGCGAATACTTGCAAATCGGCTGAGCGCCAGGAGAAAGGAGCTTGTGTCATAACCGTAAACTGCTTCAATATGAACCGCTCGGGACACCAAATCGGTAAAAATGACCCCATACGCTTTTCCACTGGTACGTTTCTGGACTTCACCGCGAACAACATATGGACCGAATAAATCTACCATGGTGTAGGTGAACGGGGGTGCTGGTTTGAGCCGTGCTTCTGGCAACCGTCCCATTTCTTGTTCTCCCAATATTGCATCAGGAAACTTGGCCAACTGACACTTGCTTTTGACGGTCTGCGCGATATTGCTCCCTTGTGCGATCCAATACTTCTGTCTAAAACGAGCCAAAGTGGAATCCCGTCCTCTATGCACGCATTGCTTATGAGCACATTCCATGAACAATTGCGTTACCGGGTGGTGGGTTGGTAGCAACTTTTGCAACGACGCATCAGGGGTCATGGGATTGTTATTCTTCAGACGTTGGCCGACCATGTAGTAACCATGCTCATCCTTGCCGGGATTCAAAGACGCGTAACGACCGCCCTTTCGTCCTTTCTGATCCGTTTTCTCAATTTCATCCTTTAGCTCTTTCTGTACATCTTTCACCACCAGATCTTCAGCTTCTTTGAGCAGTTGAGACGTAATGTGTAAGGTGCTTCCTCCATGGAATGACTTGTGTCTGGGCATGCTGAGAATTCTTGCTACCATCCATATGATCCTGTCTACGTCACTTGACCTCTTGTAATCGATATCCGGGATCTCGGAAGCAGCTGTCGCAGTGTAACGGATCTTCTTTTCTCCGGGAAAAGCTTCGTTCTTTTGGAGTCCAAACTTTAAACCCCACGACTCGATGGGTTGATACAGGATAGGAGGTCCATTCCACCATTCCGAATCTTCAACCAATTCATCCGGATTACGTACACGCTTAAGCCAATCTGCCGTATTATTCTCACCAGACATCCAAGCCCAGCAGGAAAGATCACCGTTGGTAGCAGCTTCGATTTCGCCAGTTCTAACTCCTTCGTAAAACCTTGAAGCGAGTGCTGGTTTTATTGATCATGCTCAGAACTGTATCGGAATCGACCAATTGCAAGACCCTTTCGAAATCAAATCGCATCTCCAACTCAATCACTTTCCTCCCTCGTTTCGACAACACTGCAGCATTCAACTCCATTTGCGGCGTGGACAGTTTATTGAGTGGAGCAATTCTGCATTTCGCCATGATCAATCGACACCAATATTCTCCGTTTAGCAAGGACCATCTGATACATGCAGCATACCCGTACGCCAGATCACTTCCATCGCTAAGGATGATAAGCCATGGGCAACCGACAGCGTCTTCGCGTCGTAACAACGCGAATAACGAGACTGTTTGAGTTGGGATAACATCGTGAAGAATCCAATCCATTTGTCTGTGATGTCAGCTGGGAGCGGAGTATCCCAGTCAAGCTTCTGTGACCATACCTCACGGAAGTATACTTTCGCCCGTAATGTGAAAAGACATACAAGACCTAGGGGATCGTAGATCTTCATCACCTGCTCTAGTACAATTCGCTTTGTCAGGATCTCGGGCAACGCTTTTGGGAGGTCGTCTGCATTCAGATGCAGTCTTTCGAGGACTTTCTTCTCCACTCAGCTGCCAGCATTTCACTGAGAACCCTCCTTTTGCAAGCATATTCTCTGCTTCTTCTGTGACTTTGAGGGCACAACTTACGGTCGGACGCGAGTCAATCGGATCGACATAGCTCGATTTCTTTAACAACTCTGCTGCTTCAGGGCTGTCCTCTTTGAATCGGTCAGCCGTCTTGTAGATTGCTTCCGTACTTATGGCTGGCGCAGGCGTGTCTCCAATATTGACTCGTTCCATCACATATACATCGGGAGGTCGATCAAGTTCAAGACCTCTCCAGAGAAATCGATGACAATGTTTCTCCAATTCTTTCAGGTAGACTGAATTGAACATCTTCCTAATGTCACCTACCAAAGCCACATGTTTTGCTCCCTATTATCACCAAAATGGTTAATGTGACATTAACAACAGGTCATTTCCCAAATGCATGGAAAGAAGCTCTTGTAAGTCCGCTGTTCAAGAAAGGATGTGAAGATATGGAATACAAGAAATTGAGACCTGCAATTTGTTTCCAAAATCACCGAGAGAGCAGCATCTGATTATATCTCTATAACCATATTTTGGCTAATAATGTGTACTGTTCTCCCCCCCCCATTACAGTCTGCTTACAGGAAACACCATAGCTCAGAAACGGCGCTCGTTAAAGTTATAAACGATATCCACGTTAACATGAACAATCAACAGGTACTGTTGACAATGATATTTTGATTAATCGTATACAAACAAGTTTTGGAATAACAGACACTGCTTTACTCTGGTTAAAATCATATCTACCTGGCCGCTCTATACGTGTCATTATTGACGAAAGTACATCGGAAAGCCTTATGTGTGAATGGGGTAAGTAAATTTTGCCGAGTTATGAAGGCAAATTTCGCCGAGTCACTACAACCACTGATTAATATTTCTTCTCCCAAATCGGTTTATTATATGGCTGAACTGAGTCTGTGAGCATATGCTTTTCGCGCGAATTAAATCGGCTATCGTCAGTTTCACTGGGTAACAATATACGGTAGGCATGCATGCTCAATCAAAAACAATTTGGTTGTTTGAAATTTTTATCTGTAAGTTTTAATGACACACAATTGGAAAATTAAAAAGCAAAGTTTTTTTCTGTTTGCAAAGCAAAAATTTCCCGCCAGATAAACAATATGGGTTTTTACGGACCGCTTGTCAACCAAACAGAATAGAGAATTTTGAAAAGCCATATAATAATCATTGTTGCCATAGCAACGGCAGTTGCGTAACTTTTGTGCAAAAATTCAAACTCTTTAGATGTTGTTTTATATAAGTAAGGTACTTTTTGTTTATCAACAAGTAATAAATGTCCAAAAATACGCATCTAAATCGTGAATTTTCCATTTTTGTAAAAACTGTGTTGAGCCTCCTTAATGGGGCAAGAGTTTGATACTTTGATACGTAAAGAATTTCAATAATGCTTGTATAACTAACTATCATTGCAAGCTTGTGGGGGAGTGCAGACATGAGACATCCTGTTAGCGCACTTGCCTTTCACCTCTAAGGTCGCAGGTTCAAATCTCAATGAGAATTTCTCAATGTGACTCGAACCCAGTCCTCATGTGGAAAGAGTAAAAGTCAACGCTCCGCCAAAACTAGTCGTGGGTTTTCTCCGGGTACTCCGGTTTCCTCCCACATGGAAAGTTGACAGGGTGGGTTAGGCACATAGGTCAGGAGGCAGATCATTAATGAGGTATGGACTAATAGCGGCTGCTTAAAGCGCCATTTGTAAGCTCACTGTCTACCTCGGTCTGCTTAACACCAGTTCCAGGTATTGTAATGCGCACTTGATCATATACATATGTAAAATCGCGCAATAGAAATATTAAATATTATTACTAGAAAATACATGCATGCAGAAACCCTCGCCTTGCTGACAAAACCATTGTATTTTCCGAACATGAAGTATCTAAAGTAGTTGTCATGGTAACACCGTAACACGATAATTTCTTAAGAATATTCTTACAAATGAAAAATCGCTTAAAAATGTCACTTTTAATTACAAAATTATCAATTTCCCAACATATATATGTTAGGTATGATATTATACGTAATATAAGCTTCAATTTAAGGTAAAATTCAACCACAAACGCTTCGCAAAACGTTTTAAAGTGTTCTTTATAAAACTAAACTGCCTTTATTCTTTAATTAAATGGCTCTGATTAAATGGCTTTATCGATAAACTTTGAGTTTGCAATAAAATGATTTCAAATTCTCGCATGCAAATAACTTTGCTTTCTCTTTTATTTAAAAAAATTCAATATAATAAAAAAGGGAATCAATATTAAAGATACACTGAAATGATATGCTGTCTTGTTTAGTTGTTTCATATACGCAAAGGCCGTCGGGCTTTAAAGCAATTATAAAATCAATATTTAAAACAAACTTACCTTCGTTAACGTCGGCTCCCTTCTTTTAGCCGATTCTTTCGCCATTTCTTTCTTGAAATTTACAAAATCTTGCAAAAATGCGAGCAAAAATGAAATATATTTGCAAGAAATTTATCAATCATCATTCATCAAATAAAGAAATGTTTGCTATTTCGCTGTCGTCATGCAGTCGTTATAATGCAAACTTTAAATTGGACCAATCACAGTGTTTGCTATTCATGACAGTCCGCCATATTTTTGAGATCAGTGAGGATGACCACCCACGGTTGGTGACCCACGCCCGCGATATTTGATGAACTTTAGACTTCGCTAATGCTTTCGTTTCCCCGGGTGTAAATAGCCGGGGGGGACTAGTACCCTCGCACGGCGCTTCGCGCCGTCGGCTCGGGGATTATACAAAGAAAATTAAAAACGAAATAGGCCTACTTAAGCCTTTTATTATAAAAAACCACTTAAACCGTTTATTATGTAAGTATACAGAAGCTAGGAAACTAGCTTTAGCTTATATACTATCAGTTCTAAAGTCTTCTCCCTAAAGGTCCAGTAAGACCATCTTTCATGTCTTTCATTGATCCAGTGTTACGTATATATAGTTCGCCATTATAGTAAACTCTCCTGTTTCCTTGGCCATGGCCATTGGGAAATATCAAATATCACGGAAAACAGGAGGACTTGATTTGTGCAATTATACGCCGTAGCTAAAAATATTTTTAAATTAAAGTGCCGAACTTTCGAAATATTTCTATTTGCCGTAATTTGGAGATAAAAAGATAGTCGCTACCATGTATTTTGTGTTTTTTAAAAATTTTTTCAATAATTAGTGTATTTTGCTCTTTAAAGATATTTGGTTATCTTGCTACCATTGTAATAAACCACAATACGATCCATGACCTTAGGATAAATATTAATGCCCAGCATAAAACACGTAAAAGAGCCATAACAAAAATATAGTTTAAAATATTTATTAGAAAGCTAACGTTTCGTCTTTAACTTAAGACATCTTCAGAGCAATGACATACAAAGCGGAAAACACAGAAATATGAATAAATTACAACTATTTACAAGATATTATATTACAAAGGTATAGAAAGAGGAATGGATCAGAGTAGAAGTAAAGGGACCGAGCTGCCCTGTAAGTTGAGAGAGGGTTTGAGTTTGTTAATGAGAAGACTTTCTCGAATGAGGAGTTCGTCTGGAGAAGAGCAACAGGAAATAATCTTAAAATCATTAAGAGAGGCGGAGTGACCAGATCAAGATGGGAAAGGATACTAGACATGGTCGGATTGCTGCTTTTACTGACTGTTAGAGGAGAAACACCCAAATGTTCAGAAACTCGTGTGTGCAAGTGAAGCATGACCTTGTTGGAACGCATTGTAAATATATATAATTGCTTTGTTTTCACGAAGCTTTCGATCCAATATCCATTGACCTCTCAAACTGTTTACAGACAACTATAAAGCCTCCATGTTTGCAGGTGATACAAACCTGTGTTGTACAGGGCAAACATCTGTAAACATAGAAGTATAAATTAAACAAAGACTTATATAGATAATATCCGAAAATAGATAATAAGTAGGCCTATAAGATAGATAATAACTTTAAACATTAAGAAAACCGCGAGTATATATACATACTTACTGGATCAAAACCTATAGGTTAGACTCAATTTCTGAAACCTCAAAAGTATTATATGACGAATATCAGCTAAAACATGCGTAAAAGAAAAAACTGTTCTTGGTCTTATAGTTGATGACCAACTAATGGAACACACAACGCAGTCAATGATGAACAATGCGGTAAAACCATTTCCAAAAGTTCACAAGAAGTATTAGTCGCAATATACAACTAATTGGGTGTTATCTACATACTTCAACTAAAACCGAGCTTCAGCAAATGTTCACTTAATAGGGCAAGAGTTTGATACTTTGATACGTAAAGAATTTCAATAATGCATGTATAACTATATAACTACCATTGCAACCTTGTGGGAGAGTGCAGACATGAGACACCTTGCATGTCTGTAGAAAATAATTAAATTTTCCCACCCTATTTTCTAAACAAAGAAAATTAAAAACGAAATTAAAAGCCTTTTATTATAAAAATACCCCACTTAATAAGCCACTGAAGACAGGACTTTGAGACATGATTTGAGCAATTACGCCGTAGCTAAAAATATTTTTAAAGTGCCGAACTTTCGAAATATTTCTATAGACTATATTTGTCTATATCCTTAATTGACCTTGTTGGAACGCATGGTAAAAATATATATATAATTGCTTTGTTGTGACGAAGCTTTCTATCCAAGTTTGGTCTTCATTGATGCATGCATGCCATAATAATTGACCTCCCAAACTGTTTACAGACAACTAAAGCCTCCATATTTGCAGATGATACAAACCTGTCTTGTACAACTATACGCTACAGTACAGGGCAAACTTCTGTATTTGTAAGCATAGAAGTGTGAATTAAACAAAGACCTAGATAATATCCGAAAATAGATAATAATTAGTAACAAGTTAACTTTAAACATTAAGAAAACCTCGACTACATGCTTATTGGATCAAAACCTATAGGTGGTAAAACGTAATTTCTGAATCTGAAACCCCCAAAGTATTATTATGGCGAATATCAGCTAAAACGCGTAAAAGAAAAAACTGTTCTTGGTCCGTTATAGTTGATGACCAACTAATGGAACAAACACAATGTCAATGTGTCAACTGATGAACAATGTAAAACCATTTCCAAAAGTGTAACCCTTTTGCGTAAAGTTAAGGATTTTGTTCACAAGAAGTATTTAGTCGCAATATACAACTTATTGGTGTTACCTGCATGCATATACTTTAACTATTGCTCAACCATTTGGCATGATAATAACAACTCTCATATCAAGAATTTTGTTAATATGCCTTTGTGTGATACACGGCCTTT